ACAATCTCCCTCCATCAGCCGACAATTGGAATCGATACCCGACTTGCGGAACTCCTTGTTCCCTGAAATCAAAAGTGGAATGGATGTAATGTAAATTATTTCAATAAAAATCATAGTCCATTCATTCATTCATTTACTTACTATTGCACTTCACCGCGTATATGAATAATTAGGCATGCATTTGTATATATATTTTCATTTACAATTACATATAATACATATACAATTATTTATTTATTATCATGTACCTGTCATGGTATAGACTTCCTAAGAAAGAATTAAAATCAATTTTGTTTGCAAGAAGAAGTAGGGAGGAATTTCGGTAGAGCATCTCTACATGAAATTCATTCAGCTTTAGAGTAGATAACCCACCTACCAAGTTCCACCTCGTTCGCCGCAATCGTGATCCCGATTAGGTTGGCCTGAGTTGGTGCCAGATCCCTCATCACTCCACCAATGCCACAACCGATATCCACGCACGACATACCAGCGCTTAATCCGAGACGCTGGCCAATTTTCCTGGAACAGGAGAAATGAGCGCTCCCTTGTCTACGCGCAGGTTACCATGACGGAATAAAGCCCTACCGATGAAGATCCGCCAGAGCCTCTTCGAGCGACAACTTCTCATGCCTCGGCGGTGCAAAGTGAAAATTTCCTTAATTTGTCAATATGAAAATTAGGTAAAAGGCCAAGGGAGCAATTGCAGCCCAGCTACTCATGTGAAACAGCTTACTGTAAATTCGCCGAGTATAAACGTAAGCAGGAAAAAAATGTTGAGAGATGCTCACCTCCAAAATACTCATCGATAACTTTAGACATAACTGAGTAGTAATGGGAGGTGACCGCCAGATGATCACCGCTGATTTTCGCCTCACCAAACAATCGGTCATGTTCTTCTACAAACTCGTTCTGAAACTCATCACTTCGAATCAAATCCACAGAACAATGAACAAATGACCAAAATGAAGAATGATCTATAAGTTCGCGATGCGCCATGAACCTGACGCCTTATCAGAACGTGGAGATATTCGAGTGCGCACTTGATCACTGCAAGTTTAGCGCACTAGAAGATTTTCGAGTTCAATAAATATTCAATACGTAGTGACACCATCAAAGTGATGATAAAAGGATAAAGGATAAAGCATTTGCCGTTGATCAATCCCTTTTTGGGATGCGGCACGCATTCTACTTCCATTTGTACATTCGTAGTGGCGTTTGAATGCGATGTGGCCTATACAATGACTTGCGGGGGCCAGCCGATGTACAAGTCAGTGTTTTTATCCTCCCAGACAAGTCTGGTACCAATTAACCGACCCCGGAGGGATGGAAGGCTTGGTTGGCCCGGGCGACTCACGACCCAGGAATTGATCCCGGACCGCTCGCGTGGTAAGCGTGCCACTTGCCACTACACCAGTTCCGCCCCCAAAGTGGTGATGGACCCAGGAAGTAAAAGTGACTCTATCCCTCAGTTCCTAACTACGAACGCGAATATGTAGTTGACGAAATCAAAGTGTTCTGCGGCGGAACATGCTCCACAAAGCCAGAAAATAGTGATTGAGAGGAGATTCTGGAACCCACTCTGGTTTATACTCTGAGTTAGGCTAACTCAAGCATAGTGCGAAGCGGAACTGAGGAACTAGAACTCCTTATATTCTCTCTGGTTAGACTCAAAGTATATACCATAGTATTGCCCTGAAAAGATACTGTAGCCATCTACTGATGCCCTAAGTACCCACACCCAATCAGGATATGCTTCCCCGAATGGTTGCGGGGACGAAAGTCCCTTTAAATTTTTTGTTTTGAACGATACTGTTTCTTTATTTTCAATGCATGTTTACTTTAAGCTACACACATATATTAAATGTAGGCCCTTTATCAGGACAATCCCAGTTGGGACTACAGAGAAAATTTAAAGGAACTTTCGTCCCCTAACCCTTCGGGGAAGCATACCTTACGGCCCCAGGGAGAGATCAGAGTCATGCACTGATCGTGAATTGTTTGAAGACGTCTCATATGAGTCGTGTTTGTTCCGCAAATACACAAACTACAAGGAGCGAGGTTCACAAAGACGAAACATAAACCGGATAATATAACCGAACCGTCCGTCGGAAGTACTTATTATAACTATACCCAAAAAGCAGGTGCTAAAAAAACATGGAGAACGCATGAAAACTTAACCTGTTCTCAAGAAGTCAAGAAAACGCATCTTCAAAGGTCAATGAATGAGTCGAAGCTCACGCCAATAAGCCCTTCAATGCCTTCTGGAACGGATAATTAGTACCAGCCTTCTTGGGAGGAATATTGGCTGGTTCACGAAAGTTTTTGCTTGAGCTACAACATCTTCAAACAAAATTACGATTTCAATAGCAGTAGAGACTATGGCGCACCCCAAAGAGGATCAATTAGCGCTGGACTTCAGCTTCTTCCACGGAAGCTGAATGCATGGCGTATAACAGAATTGATCGATAGAAGATCGAGTTCCAAAGTTCAAGTAAATCCAAGGTGACCTAAATAAATGGCGACCATAGCAGGTCAAGGTGATCGTCGGCCAAGTATCTCGGTCGTCTCCACTACTCAGAGAAATTTCGAATGAAGGTGTTCAAGGTTGAATTAGCTTACTATTTAGACTTGGATACAGGTTCCATAGCCAGATTACTTACCAGATCATGACGTCTGAAATGCATGAGCAGCTTCAGATAGTTCTTTTTCATGTTCACAGCCATTCTACAGCGATCCGATGGTGCCTGTAAGTTCCTGGACTTCGATTTAGATCATAGTATAAAAAGAAAAAAATGATTGAATGGAAAAGAGGATTTTTGGAAGAAAACGATGGAGACCTTCGGCCGAAAAGCGATGTCCACGTTCAAATAGGCGGGGCATCACTCGCGCACACACGGATCGGTACGCCGGATCCTGGAATTCCCTCGCTGTTCCGTAAGATCTTCGACTTCCAACTGTGCTGTTGCTCATTCTGGAAAATAATTTGAAAAATTCAAAGGCAATCAGTAAATTCTATTGTCTAGACTGCCACTGGAATATCTACTTGCCTGGCAGGCAGAGACAGCTGCCGAGCATTGCTAGGTAAGAACTTATTTGAGGTTGTCCAGAAATTAATGTCAGTCATGCGACCCTGTCTCTTCTGTGCAAATTTTGGCAAAAATTCATTGGCAGGGATCGCGGCTTCTCATTGCCTTAGAACGTTGATCAGTCCCTTTCTGGGATGCGGCCCGCATCCCAAAAGGAATTGATCCCACTTTACCTGTACATTCGTAGTGGCGTTTGAATGCGATGTGGCCTATACAATGACTTGCGGGGGCCAGCCGATGTACAAGTCAGTGTTTTTATCCTCCCAGACAAGTCTGGTACCAATTAACCGACCCCGGAGGGATGGAAGGCTTGGTTGGCCCGGGCGACTCACGACCCAGGATTTGATCCCCGGACCGCTCGCGTGGTAAGCGCGCCACTTGCCACTACACCACTTCCGCCCTTTCGCGCTTCCTCATGGCTTATCTGAGTGTTAGCGTTGCTTGAATTTTAGGCGGAATTTCAGCTCAGAAATGGAGGCATCAAATCACAGCCAATTTCATCCTCAAGCCATTTCATACATTCTCACTACAAATTCAGGCTCGATCGTAAACAAAATAGCCAAATACTTGGGATGGTAGGAAAGTGCTGAGCCGAATTTTTGAAAGCTCCAGAACTTTCGCTTATTGATCGGTATATTAGGTTGGAAGGAAAGTTCCTTAACACTCAATTCGCGCTCTTTCTGGATTTCTCCCGAATGCTCTGGAATCTTCCATGGGTGGTATATAGTAGGAGTGGACCGTGCTACGTACGGTGATCAAATCAGCTTTCCCAATAATGGCGTTTGCATGGCACTAAATCAACTTTTCCCGCCAGACACTCCGAGCGCTCATTCTGTAAGAGCTCCGCCTAGAGAGATCTGCCCACCAGAGGTGGTCAGGATCAGTCCCGGGATAGGCCTGGGCACGTTCTCTCACATGGCGGTTTCGGCTTGGTTTAAACGCTCCGCAGCGAAGACTTTGATCTTTCTGACGCAACACACGACTACTGCCCATTTTGACGTTTGACGGTATTTCCCACGGGTGATGATCTGTCTGGAGGATTGACGAGTACAAGGGCTTCACAATGCTAGCTGCTCGAAAAGATTGCAGAAGAGCTTCGCCGAATATAGCGACAAGTCAACCTGCTTCACGACAACGCGCAACGTCGCGGGTGTTCGGTCTCAAGCCACAAGACTCTGAAGCCAGGCAGGACCGCGGCTGCCCGTCTGCCATATTCGTCAAACCTATCTATACACCTCTTCAACCTTTCCTGCTCGCTTGCTCATTACCTGGAGAACAGGAAGCTCGACGACGTAAACGAGCGCAAATCCGACACCAGAAGGTTGTTTGGCAAAAATCTTCCTAATTTCTAATTTCTGCGGTGTCACCCAAATGCCCGAAGGTTGGCGTAGTGTTGTTGTATCTAATGGTCAATATGTTATGGATCATTGAATAAATAAAGAATAAAAAAATAAATTCAAAAATTGAGCTACAAGTGTTAAGGAACTTTCCTTCCAACCTAAAATCTGCTACGTGATAGATTATCGCTGTCGATCATACTTCTCCGCAGTAGGTATATATAGCCGGGTTGCCTTCTTTAACTTTAATCATGATGTCGATTCCACAAGAGCACTTTCGAGCGATCATCTTCAATGAATGGCGCTGCGGCACAGGAGCAGTGGAAACCGTCACATTATCAGCATCGCATTGGGAAGGGACACCACTTCCATCATCAGTGCCAAGCTCTGGTTCGCAGGCTTCGAGGAGGAGACACGGCTTCCGAAAACAAGTCAAGGTTGGGGAAGCCCCAAACAGTGGAAGACTCCACCGTTCTCGGCGCTGTCGAAGAGGATCCGGAGGTTAGCACCCGCAGCCTTGTGATAAGACTCGGGTGCACCCATCCCACAGTCCTCGGTCCCCTCCACGCCCTCGCCACAGGAAAGTGCCGACTCGATGGATTCCTCATGTCTTGACCGATAGCACGCGGTTCAGGCGGGTACCCATTTGTCAGTTTCTCCTTCTTTGCCCGCACCGAAAGGAGTTTTTGGAAGGCTTGATAACGGAAGAACTGGACTAGGACACGGTTCCCCACCCACCCCATTTCCCTGACCCCACTGTTTGTCACTGCTTCGTTCTCTTAAGCCATTCCTAGCGAATAAAAAATTCGCCAAAGTTGAAGACGTTGAAACGATGTCAGTGGATTTCTCGAGCTTCAATCTCTCCAGTCTAGCGACTATAGCGATCTGCTGACTGTCCGAAAGGTGGGACATCTGTACTGGGTAACGATGGTGATTATATTGTTGAGTAAATTCCATTGTACGCGAAATAAAAAAGTAAAGCAAAAAACAGTGTCGGGAGGCTCAGGACTTTCTTGCCATCCTAATAGCAAACCTTTGAGCGTGAAAGATAAAAGTGGTGTGTAATCAAGGGACTGTGTTGCAAGAAGTTACTACCGGTTCCAAAAGCTTTAAAGGAGCAAATTCGATCATCATGGTGAGAAATGTCGCTTACATGTCTGCGCTCGATTACTCTAATATAAAAGAGTTGTTAAAGATAACACACGTAGTGCTGGGCGAGAACTGGTAGCGCTTCCGGGTGTAGTGTTAGAAATGGAAAGGCCGGATGAAGCGTGGACCCATGGAGTTCTTAACAAAGCTGGACGACAGCTTTCAACGACTTCATTCAACTCCAGAACGTCAAGGGGAATAAATAGCGTACGCCTTGGCTTCGCCGAAGTGTAGGACTAGGGTCTTAAATCGACTGAGGACATGTTGCTCGGACCAGTAGTCTTTTCAAAATAAGGGTTTTAACACTAACACAATATCTGGGAAAGCTGGAATCAGCTTATCCGTCACACCATACTCCTACCAGGTAATTAAGTTTAGACCGAAAATACTACAAATCCAGATTTGTTTTCACCAATCGTACCATAAGAACGTTCGCCACGTTCAACGCGACCTCAAGCATGTCATAGACACGAGAAAAAGGTTCTTATATAGAACATCGAGGCCACTAAAACCGCCATGAGTCGAGGCAGGCCGATGGATTGCTAAGCAAGAAGGAGTCCAGGTGGGTCAAGTAGCATCAGTGACGATTGATTCGTCCGCTGAGACAACTCCCCCCCCCAAACTTTTAGCGCAACGCTGCAGAGCTTTATTTCTTTTAGGTCTTCAAAAAACAAAGCAATGACATGGCGTGACCAGAACGAGAAATGCACGGTTAGAGTCAAACGTTCATTGACACACTTTAGGGCGAATGCCTAACTTTCAGCGAACCGAGCGATTTGCTAGCGCCCGTGGTCGCGTCCCGGCAGCGCTTCGCTAGCCTTTGCGATCGCGTCGCCAGACCAGCGAAGTCGCAATCAGGTGCGCTGGTACTGCCTACGCAACGCGAACAGCGAATCACTCGAGGCAAAGTCTGACATCGGCCTAACGGGGATATTGTTTGACCCGACCAGAGAAAGGAGGCTGTAAGCTTACAAGTCATGCTGAGTTGTGCGCACCAAGAAAGAAGTAAAACTAGACAATTAGACGGAAAGGGTACTGAACCACTCGAGGTCTTCGTTCGATTAAAGGAATCCTCCTCGCGGAAAATCAGGATTACTATTACCCAAATCAGAACGGCCTCAAGATCCCATCGTTTACGAATGAACGAAACGGAAAGAGCAAAAAACATTTGCATTTGTTCTGGTAGAGAATACGAAAAACCGAAAGAAGTGCTATACTTTCAACCCGTCGGACATCTGTCACAAATGCTGGAGGCGAAAAAGCTTCCACTTGGTTCATGGAGTGCTGCCACTAGAAACTCTTTCTGACCTTTTGATTTACTGCACTAACATCTCATTCGCATTCTATTATGGCGATCGTATTGCCTCTATTCTCCAAAATCGCACACTTTAGCCCGTCTTTCAATGCATCCCCTGATACTCTCTGCTTCAAGAACCAGATGCCTGCCGAATGCTGACCACACCCCACAAGTGACGACGGCCTCCAAGCAATGCCTGTCTAATCGAGAATATTTATCGTAGATAGCTAGCTGGTAAGCCATATATTGCTAAACTAGTGACAACTGAACTACATCATAAACTACAGCTGGCAACCGGGCGTAACATTCATTGGCAAAAAAATGTACACTTTGTGGAGGCCCTCTCGCTTGTGTTGGTAATCTGCACTCGACGAGCATCTGGTTTGAAAACACAGAGTACGTAGTCGTCTTGAATCGCACTCTCTCCATGCCTCGCCGTTGGCGCCGCGCGATTTACCTTCGTAGTGCCCAATAGAGACGTGGTTTTCGTAACTCGTGATCTTCGCTTAAACTGAATCGTTCACGCCATGAACTTTGTATTCGTCTCCAGTGATCCAATCGACATTCTTCAACATTCGGAAAGAAGGCAAAATTTTCCGGAAGGATTGCCTCTTGAATCAATAAGTAATGTCGTGAACACCTTAGACGAACGGCGACATAAGAAGTTCATCAGGACTGATTAGATTTCTGATGAACACGACCCAATGTTTTTAGCTGGACACACTTACCAATCTGAGTTGAAAAATGAGAGTACAATTATTTTGCCACCATGGTGTTATGCTCCCATCCTTAGTACGTCAAGAATTGGAGGTGTGATGTCATGACAAAAGTATCGCTACCAGCGTCACTTGTCGAAAATTGCACCCAGAAAGAGATCTACTGAGGCCATCCTGACAAATACGGAGTATATGTTAGCATTTTAATTTTGTTTGGGTCTCATCAGTAAGGGGGGGCATAGCGATCTAGAGCATTTCAAACCATGGAAAGCACATTATTTTATTGTAGACGTTCAGGACTAAGCCCTAGAAGGGAAGGAGTCCCCGGATCCGTGAGCAATCTTGGCTTTCCCCGGGGGACTTCCTCCCCCTCCTGGGCTTAGTCCTGACCTGCTAACTAGGTGAATTTCACTTCTCGTAGACGTTAATGTCATCTAGTACAAGAATACATACATTACACAAAACACCTGAAGAAATAACATAGGAAAAAAGCTGATAGCAGCTCGTAACTTTAAAGGACTCCTTGAGCCAAATTGGCATTAGAGCAGACCGTGCACCGCAATGCCCCCTCTTACCGGATGAGACCCTTGTTTTCATTCGTGTAATTCATTAAGGATCTGCTAGAGGGCTCACGACATTCGTCAGAGGAAGGGGCTGTGAAGACAAAACACAGCTAGCACGTATTTGGAAATAAAGAAAGAGTAGAAGGAGATAAAAGTGGTCGGATACTTGGGCTATTGTCGCCTGTACCAAGCACCTGTTTCACCCTTTCCTGGTTGGTGACAACTGCACCATCAAATTGGGGTAAAAATCTTGCGCCTACGGGACGCTACAGCATATCTTTAACAGTTAGAGGTCACTTCAAACGAACTTTTCTTTGCGAATTTTGCTCTGCAACCGCCATTTTATTGTGCGTTGCTGTTAGCATTTTAAGTATTTGTACAACTGCAACAATTAATCGGCGCTGATCGCAGCAAACTGGTAAGCAAACGGGACGCCTTACCTAACAGATTGCTGGGGTACCCGACAGAAGGCCCGTACCGCGGCAGGAGGGCACAGTCTGCGGACAATTGCAGCGGTACTGTAGTAATTTCGCGTCAAGGTAAACAGAATATAGCATTGTACGTCCCACACTGCACATCACAAGCTGCGACACGTCCGCTGACTGTGCCTTCTTGCCGCGCGACGGGCCTCCTGTCGAGTACCCTCAGCAAACTGGTTAGGTAAGCGTCAATCATTTCTGAAAGACTTGGAATATACACATTTTGCTATCAAAGACGTGAAGTGTAAAGTTGTGCAAGATCACAAACTCTTCGAAATAACTGAGAAATTTGGAATTTGACATAAGCTTGAAAGCTTACGTGTCATTTCCACACTTTTCCTGTCTCCGTGGTTCCCTAGTTTGTCTGGCCGAAAAAAACTTCCATTTCGTTATCGGTATTATTTATGTGCTCACAAGAATAACAATGGGGAGCAAGGCATTTTTTACGAAAAAATTACCGCCTAAAAAAGTTTAAGTGAGCGATAATGTGCCTGACAACATTAGCGACTTTTGCTTCAGCCCGCGACACCTCAGCATGATTGTGGATGAAGGAAGATATACACTGAAAAGAGGCCTTCAAATAATCCTATCCTATGCACATACCTCAGGCGTCACCTATAGTCGGTCATTTTGATGAATCTCCTGCAAGTTGATCGAAGGAGAAGTGAAGGAGCTCAATGTATAATGAAAACTTCTACATTCCATGTGCAAACTTCCAGGCGACATTGAACTGAAGTCACCGATTTCTAAAAGATTTTGCGTACCCGACAAGAGGCCTCTTCACACGGCGAGAGGACAGAAACGCAGACCGTCTAGCGGACGAGTTGCAGCGCGTTCTTTGGCAATTAGCGTCAAGTCAGATAGAAGTACCATAGAAGTTCCACACCGCCTACACGCGCTGCGACTCGTCTGCTGACCCGTCTGTGTCTCTACCTTTCGCCCGCTACGCGCCTTCCTTTGGACGGGATCTTAACCACTTCAGACCAGCCGGTATTGAGCTTCACGCGATGGTTACCGCCAACTGCATGCTTTTCCTCATTTAATAACAAAATTTATTAGATTTAAATATCAACAGATAAAAAACGATTTACCGCTATCACATCAAGAGCAGTAGTAACAGCTGCAGGCATAAAAGCATCGATTACTCGTTCGATATTTCGAAGGTATGAGTAAAAAAAAGGAGGAATAAAAATAATAGACAGAAACTTTGCGAAAAGCATACGCATAACAACCGAAGAGAAATCACCGGATTAAACTGAACACACTAAAGCTACGAATTTGATCGAATAACGGGTGTGGAATGCCAGAGAATACCATGCTTGATGAGAAATTGACGAGAAAAAAGTATAAGTCAGGCAGTGACAATCACAACAAGAAACGGAGCTCTTAAATCTTCTGATACATATGGAGGCAGCAGTCCACAAAAATACATACTGAGAGGGAGAAATGAAAATAGATAACGATTACAACAACTTTCCGAATCTTAACTGTTCTTCATGGAGGCGGCAATCTCTCCACCACGACGCGCAGCATAGCCGCAGCTCGGGCAGCCGCATGGGCCTGAAAATACTCATCAGAACTTCGTGAAAAATCGGAAATAAAAAACCCAAATAATGAATATATAGACATAACCATACCTGCCACAGCTTGCTGGCACGACTCAGTCCATGTTGGTAGTCAGCGATACCTCTAATCAGCGTCCACGAGTCGATACGAGATCCACTGATAGCAGCAATTACCGAATCGAAACCGGCGTCCAAGGCGCGCACCCCGAACTCTTCACCGAACTTTGCACGAAGTGCGCTTACTGATTCTTCTTCGTTTTCTTCGATGTGACGCTTGAAATTCGCCAGTGCTCCAACCGGTCCCAAGTGAACTTCTGGACCCTTTCTGGTTTCCTGGTTTGGATGCGGCACGACTACGACGTTACCGCCACCCACAGGTAGCGCCAGTACATCTGTGTCAGCCGACGGCATGGAAAAATCGTAGTCTCCACCTGCGTCGTGCAGACGCTTAACTGCTTCAGACGTCAACTCGTTCCACTTCGTCATAACTTCTTCGCTTCCATCTTCTACAATCTGACTGATCACATGATCGACTGGGTTCCATCTCCTGGAAAAACGACAGGTTATTCATTTACTTTTTTTTACTTATTTACGCGATAGATTATGCGAAAAACTGGAGATACAGAAATTTCATTACACACCTTACAGCAAATCCTGAGAACACCTCCGTCTTTCGATCGATGATCAGATCATGACAATAAATGTAGGCGTCAGGTTTACTTGCACTTACAACAACGTCACCTTAAAAAGCAAACATCAAGACATAGATGAAGGGAGCTGGATTCAAAGGCAGGTGGCACGATGAATTTGATGTTGAAAAAGAAGGAGCAAGTTTACTACAGAGAGGCACTGAGCCCCTGAAAGACCGAAGGTATCGCTTTCGTGGAAG